AGATCAAAATATCTGTTGTTTACAAGCCTGATCATTCTACAAGTTACTAATGCTTTCTATATAGAAAAAAATAATCAGATGCACAATTTCTAAAGAAAATTAAACAAATCAATCAAAGAGTAAAACAAAATTGAAAAATATGAGATTTTCCTTTTTTGCTATTCAATTAATATGTAACATCCATGTAAACTGACACTTCCCTCAACAAGAGACACATTCTTATCTGCACATAATTATACAGCAGATTGACTATTTTTGTATGCACTAAGATTGTGTATACCGTACCTTGGGCACAGATTTTTTTTATCACACTTTCCTGCAAGTTGAAAGAGGCTGAAAGATTTCTATATTGTAGGATTTGGATGGTCTTGGACTCTTGGATACCCATTCAGCAAGTTGAGGGAAGATATATTCAAGTTTCAAGTTTTATTTCTGCATTTTCCATAAACAATAACAAAAATAACAATGAATACATTTTAGCAATATAATGATAAGTAATACAAGTAGTAATTCACAAATAAATAAATATAAATAATCAATAGTACAATTAATCATATTTGAAAAGAAAGAAAAGGCAGAAGACCGATATCGTAAGCAGAGCTTGAAATGATACCGGCCTTACAAAACGAGGAGGAGACAGGAAGAAAGAGCGGGTGAAGAGAGTGCTGTGCAAAGTGAAGAGTGCACTGCGCGAGCTCCTCAATCTATCAGATAATTTCCTTTTTATATACAAATAAACAATGAATATTTATATTAAAACAAGTACATGTAGTATATTATTGCCCACATCTAATACTTGATGGAAGTATCCCCCTATCATCTCTCATCTTGTAAAGGTTCTTCATGAATTATTTTCCATACCATAATTAAGGGGAAATAAAATCAGAACTTCAGATAAATTATTCATAATTCACACTTTTTCTTGTCATCCTGCACTTGCTCTTTTTATGGAAGGAAAAAGAAGGATGGGGGCTATAAATACTTTTTTCCCTCGAAGGAAGAGTACTGAATTTGATTGAGATATGATACAAATATTCTTTTTCAACTATGAAACTCCATGCTTCAAAACATCCAGTCTTCAGGTTTTCCTTTCTCTGTCTCTCTCTCTCTCTCGTTTTTTTTCCTTTCTTGTCCATCTATTGGCTTGTCTTGTGTGATCTCTTTAATATTTCTGCACTGATGGAACTTTTGCTATAAGATGACTTTCTTTACAAGCAGAGCAAAAGAATATGGATTCATAGCACAAGCATCATTCCAAGATGTAGCATTGTCATTATCAGTGTAGCAGGTGAAATATGCGTATTAGTAAGCTTACAGACTACTGCTTCTGCAAAGCTCAAAAGCTCTACAGGATTGTAGCAGTACAGATCGAGTCTTGATAATTATCTAGTTGTGAGAATATTCATGAAGCCATCTTGGGACTCCGTAGTACGTACACACATCTTTAAAGGGCAACTTGAAACAAGGCAAACAAGACAAACAAGACAATTAGCACCTGCAGGAGATAATGAGGACATCGACAAAGACTTTCATTACACTTCAGCAAAACAGAAAGCATTAATGACTCCAAATATATTTTCAAATATTTCTTTTTGGTGCATGTGTGTCAGTGGGTATAGGGTTTCTTGTCCTGTCCTGTATTATTAACATAAACCACAGCTTCAATCAGCAATTGCATTTCATAGTGCCATTTATTACATATTTGTATATGTCATGCGGTTAAAATGAATTAGATTGCAAATAAAAAATATAGCAATTAAATTTCTTATTGGTGAAGAATTAACGCAAAAAAGCTGCCTGACTAATGATTACTTTTGCTTTTAATAGTCGCATGCATGTATATGCACAAATAATTAACACACCATCCATTATTCTTAGATAGTACAATATGAACATGTGTGTGTATAGTATACAAGAGACAAGGAGTGAGAGAGGGAGAGAACAAACTTTCTCTATCCTCATCAGGCATGGGCAGGGCTGTCTAATGACTAACATAAGACAGCGTTCCTGCCACGCAAACATGAAGGCATAATAGAAATGGCTTGAGCTAACAGGAACGTGTGTGTGCTAAGCAAACTCGGCATTGTACACATTGGCAGAGATGCAATTACGGAAACCATGATGCAAAGCTTTCTATGCTCTGTATTTATCTGATTAACATTGGTCATCTTCTATTTTGCATGCCTTGTAGATCCACAAAGAACAAGCAAGAAAAAAATTAATATTACAGGATACCATACAGTCAGTCAAGTACCAACACACTACATTGTCAACTTGTCAACTTGTATTCAAATCATTCTCCGCAATGACTCCCAAAGATATAACCATTCTGTTTTGATATATAGTATGACCAAGCATTACCACATCCTTTTGAATAAAGTTAAAAATATCCCCACCAAATAAAATAGAATGTACATGTAGAGTATGTGTAGCCATGTTTTTATTAGAAGGTGTTGGCTGACTCTATCAAGATATTAGTCTGGCTCTCTGAGACAAGCATGATGAGTGAGATCTTAAATTAAAAAGTCCAGATTAGTGAGTTGTGTTTTATTCATAGCATGCCGAGAAGGCTCTATTTCTAGACATCCCTCCTGGAGAGAATGACTTCACTCATCATAGAATGATTTCTCTCATCTTCTGACACGATATATTGCATTACCTACGTCTTTCTTCACCTATGAGGGGTGTAACAGTGCCTATAGACTGGAATACTTTTGGGGGGGGGGGTGTTATCTCACATCATTAGTGTGATATTTTGTATTGGGTAGCTTATTTTCAGGTACCTGTGGGTCTTGTTTTAATCACCATTACATGTAAAACCATCTGTAGTCACATGTTAAGCCTTATTATGCATGGAAATTGATAATTGAATTTACAATAGGTAAATCTACTATCTTTATGATATTTTTAACTTTCAATTTTAATTTTTGTAACTATTGAGCGATCAAATTGATTTTCTAATAGCTTGATAAACTTCTCACTTCTATAGGGAATTTAATTTACCTGAACACCCCTGCTTTTATAGGACTGATTCTGCTGTGAACTCCTCTGTTTTCAGGCAAAATGATTTGATAAACTTGACTAGTCATGGGATGAGAGGGGCTGTCATGAATCCCTTATTAATGAACAGAGTGAGCTAGAAAGTACTCATCCAAAACAAGGACATCGCCGTCCTTTCTTTTCATCTTAAAACATGAATGACAGGAAAATTGACAGCTAGTGACTTCAACAAGCTCATCTTCCCGCCTAATAGAATATCAAGGCTTCATATTCTGAAAAGGGTTGAGGCATTTTAATGGTAGGAGACAATTTTGTCGAGACCATAATCCGAAAATAAAATTTGAAGCAACCAATTTGCATGAGCCTGCCTAGAATGACATTACATGGAAGCTTGCTTGAATTGAGAAAACAATTTCATACAGGACAAGCGGGATAAAGTTTGATAGATGAGAAGCATTACATGATGTAAACATCATCTTGGATTTAACACAAATGGGAAGAATTCCATGATCACAGTCCACAGACAGCAAAGTGCTTTCAAATGAAGCAAGGAACCCCACTCCAACTTCCAAGACATTATGCCTGGTATAGAGAGAATGAATTTTCATTTGGGATGTTCATTCTCTTTATTGGAAGGCACGTAAACTGGAGGGTGAAGACTGAGTGTCCCTGCAGGCGATAGACGCACACAGGGACAGTCCTCAGGAAAGCTGAGCAATAAACTGGCACAATCATGATTTATGAGTTCTTCTGTGGGGTTACTATGGTAACAGCGCTTTTTAAAATAACCTTGCCTGCCTGGGTTATCATTAAGAGCACTGGTTAGGAGTTCTTGAAGAAATAATAAATGGGCGAGAGATAGAAACTTGGCTCTGTTAATGCCATGCGCTGATGTACATCTGTGATGGGTTTGGCTGTGCACAGTGGGATGTGGATGAGGAGCAATAAAGGAAGCGGGCAAATGCAATGTGAGAGCACTAATGCACTGACAAAGATAAACACTTTTATGAATTATCTCCATTTTGTTTGGATGAGCACAAACAGACTTGCACTGATGATCAGAGTAGGACCTACTATAAAGGGCTATCCAACCCTTGCAATATGTTCGCTTGTATGAAAGTAGAAAAATAAGATAAACAGAATGATGAATGTCTGAAATATGAGATCACTTAATAAGTGTGAATAGTTTGTGGAATGAGACAGACACAGACACAGACAACTCTTTCGTTTGTCATTTGTCTTGTAAAAAAAATATCATTCATTTCTGTTTTTCTCTAAAGAGCCTTCTCCCTTTGGGCAATACTCAAAATAAAATATATCATGGATAGCATATTATTAAAGGTCCCCTCAACTTTTTAAATATTCATAACTGTCTCATTTTTTGTCCTATTTCATCGAAACTTTCACTAGTCTGCTTCTCTGATTTTTCTACTTTCTTCTAAAGCAGTTTAATATTAAGCTTGGATTTCCCTTTAAGCTAGTCTAGTATGCATGGGCTAGACTGCTACAGTAACTCTTTGGACTTATCAATATCAATAATTCAGTTTAAATATATATCACTTCTCAATACCTTCCTTTTTACTAATACTTTGTGTGATTTGCTTTGTTGACAAGTATCTTCTTGTAGATCACTCTATCTAATCATTTTGTCGAATATCTGTAGGAAGTGCAGTGTAAGGTATTTCGAAAGGAAGAAACAGGAAAAGTAGAATAAGAAATGTTACTGAACACTTTCTTTTTTGAATAAACCCTTTGGGACTAGAAGTTATGTAGTCCTATCAGTTGGGAAATCAAACCAAAATGCAACCAACATTGCTCTTTGCTATATTATTTATGATGTCAAAATCTTCTTTATGATTAGGAAGAAGCATTCATAAGATGAATATAGATAAGCACTCTCTCACTTCCACAAGACCACACAGACACTCTCCTAATCAAGATCTTGCAGGAGATTAACTGACGTGACGAGGTTAGTCTTCTACAACATAAATTTCACAAACCTGGATAGAAGTCATTGGCCTTTGAGAGTTTGACATTGGTCCCTGTATCTCTCTGTAGTTGGGCGATGGTTTGGCCACCTTTGCCAATAATGGAGCCTGCCGCTGTGCTCGGGATTAACATCTTCAACATGTACTTGTTGTCATCTAAAAAAGAGAGAGAAAATAAGAAACATGACTGTCACAAGAACAAATTGTGAGCTTGACTTCTAACTACTTTACATAATATCAGAATGATGCTTATCTTGTGTGGATATCTCTTGCCTTTACGAATACAAAAAAGTAGGCAATGTAATCATCAACATCCTATTCTCTCTGAATTCATTATCTTCTAATCACTCAACTCCAATTCCTTTCACTATTTCAATAGAAGAAAAATTATGTGAAGCATTATGTTAACTGAGATGTGTTCCATTGTTAACATGAATGTTTTTTAAAATGTTGGTGTTTTTCTTTAAAGAATTGATCAAAATTGGTATGTTGGTTACATTTTATTGGAATAACTTATTATTTTTTTATTGGTGTTTGTGAATGTTTGAACGAGCTAAAATAGATTCACTTGAGACATTAGGAGGTTGCTACCGATCACTGATGGTAAAACTATCTGCACCTTTAAAATGTGTTTTGTTTCACAGGAGTGTGAAAGATTTCTCTGGTTTTTCTATCTTCAGTAAAGGGGATTTAGGCGTAAGTCTGGAAAGGTTCTACAATCACTCAGGATAGTTTATCTTGACCCTCTTTAGGCGCCAGCAGGATTTGGCTCAAAATACTTCACCGGGATAGGCAGGAACAAGTTCACTTTTTATCATTGGCACATCCTCAGTTTCAGGCAGATACTAGGTGGGCACCTACAATGCACATTGTGTGTACTTGATTTATCAAAAGTAAAGAGGTACGGTACACATGTGGTAGAGGGCAATTTACGTCCCACCCCCCCCCCCTCCCCTTCACACACACACACACACACACAAACTTTAGATGTGCGAACATATAAATCATTCCTTACAAGGCAACTTTGCATCACTGGGTTGTATTGCATTTTTCTAGTAAACACTGTGTAGCCCTTCTTAACAAAATTGTTATTTTTAGCTTGGTAGCCAGAGCCCCCCCCCCCCATCAACTGTATCATTCCATCTTAACAACAACTCAAGAAGTAAAGTTGTTGTTATTAAGGTAATACAAAGTTTTAGTATGGGGTCACAAATTTGGTTCAAATGAACATATTGGAAGCATATGCGATCCTACAATATTCAGCGATCCTTGTCGCGGTTGAAATCGAGTCTAAAGTTATGAAATTGTAATGAATAAACTCTTTATGTTGTATAGCTCCCTCTCAAGGTCAAGATATTAATTAAGCTATAAAACAATGTTTCTTGACTAAAATCGTCCGATTAGCTATTACCGTTTGGAAATTATGTATCACAACTACATATTCTGAGATTTTCATGGTCGCAGCTACTATTGTACGGCCGTACGCGCTATTTGAAAATAATCAAAATTTACTGGGAGCACCGGTAAACTTTTATATTCAATTTTTCTCAAAAGCAGAAGTGTTTTAGGGGCTAAATTTTCCAATGCTTATAATACATCCACAGGGGGATCCAAATATATCAAAATTGTAAAGAATCACTATCCACCCAATTTTCAAAATTTCCCAAAACTTTGTATTACCTTTAATGGAAACCTTGAATGACATCAACTAATTCAAGTTTATTATTTTGAGGTCCATATTTTAACTTAGGGATTGAAAAGCAGATCCCTTTCCTGTATGATCAATGGAACTATAAATACAAATCCGATTATTCAAGTATCATTCAAACTTAAAAAAAAGTGCAAACCATACATCGCAGACCTTTTAATGAGGTCTTTCATTTCCTCTCAACTACATTGTACGTGTAACTGATCAGTTTCCTGAAAATATAATGACATCAATTTAAGCTTACAATGTACATGGGTGTCCCCAAAGAGCAACTTTCAAATTCACTAATGATAAATGACTGAATCAAATTAATTGCATGAGCCATTATTGCTATTCCTATAAAATTAATTGCGCATTTTCTGTATTCCCACATAGATCAATCAGTACGTCTATATGGTGAAGTGGCCATTTGTCATCCCTTAATGATTAACAGATATGGGGGAAATGGAATGGGAATGACGTAGAATCACCAGAGTAACAGATACTATGCTTTGGAATGGGACATTTCTACTCTGGTAATCCTTTTGTGATGTCAAAGACTTGGTCCCATTCAAAGGACCATAAATGGGAGAGGAATGGGCAAACAATAGACCAAGCCAACAAATCAATATGACCTCCTCCCCTCTCCATACTGGGTCCCAAGCTCTCTCTCCAAGCATTGCACAGACCCACAATAGGATATGTGCGCAGTAAGCGGATTGTGCAGGTTGTATTCACCCTTGTTGTTAAAACAGAGGCTTAGTCATGTCAATGACTAGCCCAAACCTACAAAAGCAAGGTTTAATGTTGCTTTGTTCCACCACTTTACTTCCTCAATGGCTAATCCATATTGTAGAACTACCCATTCATCCCCTGCCAGAGGTGTTAAGTTTGTGAATAATTTAGACAAAAACTGGTCCTTGAAAGACAGACAATGCATGGCCTTATTGTCCTCTCTGAAGAAGTGCAGGTACATGGATTGATTGATGAACAATGGCATCACTGGAAGAATGTTTTCACATGGTTATTGATTATATCAGTGCCACATCCAATGGGGTAAACATCTGAAGGACTCTCTATGCTTCTTCTAACAAAACAACAATACACAACAGACATGACCAAGGAAATGATCATGCATGCAGTGTTGGGACTCTTGGGAGTAAGCACAAAAAAAATCATTTAATACCAAGTTGATTATAGTGATAAGTGTACAAAGAGTAAAATTACATTATCATATTTGGTGCACAGGACACTACATACACATGTATATAGCCAAATTTCATAAGCCCTAAAGAAGTCACAATGAATTATAATTGTTATATTGAGACTTCATAAGAAAATAATATCGCCTAGCCCTAAGCCTAAAATTTGAATGAAAAGGAACGAAAAATTGGACAGACGGTGTAGAAATTGACATTTAAATAGAAATATTGAAATATACCCAAGTCCACTTTGTAACATTCATGCCGCAGGGTCATTCAACATCTCATGCCTTCATATAAGCAAGGGCTACACGTATGATATGAATGAACCTCCTCACCTAACATTAACCGTATAATAACAACCCTCTGCCGCTTCAGTTATCCATTTACAACACATCCCATTCTCCACAAATCACTTCCCTTTCATCACTAATTAAAATCCCATCCCATGTGAGACAATCCGTTCAGTGGCCCATAAAATCATGCTCAATATTTCACAAAGTGATCATCGTTAAATTATCATTCTTCCAGAAGGGTAAGGACCTTGTGTTTATTAATTTGCGCAAGGTCCTTTTGATTAGTATGGCAGTAATGCACCAAACCTGGAGGGCGAAATAATATTGTTAAGCCAAGGGCAGCAGAGCGTGCCAGACAGAGCTCTATTGAGCGTGATCTGAACACAGTTCCTTGCATTTTCTAAAGGCTCCTCCGTTTATCAAGCATCGGCTTCACTTCCTTCATCTTCATACCTCGCTAAATTTCAAATTAATTTTTCGGCCATTTGCGGTTATTGTCCTGTGACCCCTAGCTGAATCTATAAACAAAAAAATCATGAAATTACATGACAAATTTAAGGAGAAGGGGGTGGGAAGGGGGAGGGGGTGATGTTATGATCTTTTACAACCTCACAGAATCATTCATGTTAAATTTACCTTAGTGATAAATGCTCAATTTTACATCATTTCTGTTACTATCCTCCAAGAGACTGTTTCAATGACTTTTTGGGAGTGTCAAGCATCTTTCTTCTTTCTTTTTTTTCCTCAAACACATCAATGCTTGTTCTCTCTGATATCCATTTCTTCCTTTGCTTCTTTCTCCTGCATCTACCTGTTTGTTTAGATGGCATCCTCTGTCTATCTACCTTCTTCAGTGACCTGACTGCGCCAAGAATACCTCTCAATAAAAAGTGGGCAGGAGAGCACTTATTCAATTTGAGGAAATCTTTGCCCAGTATGGGTGCAAGCGTGGCCCAGGGGAGGCAACCCTGCACCCAGCAGGGAAGAAACTACTCCAAGCATGCTACAGACAAACTCTAGCTCTGCAGACATATGCTGCTGTCAAACAGCACCGAAAGGCCTACAAGATATATGAATGCCAGTGGTGCAATGATTGCACCTGTAACTTTGTTGAGATCATATCATGAGGAAATGTCTTATGTTTCAGTTTTCTACATTTTCTTTCAATTTTTTTTACTCTATCCTTTGATCTAAATGAAACACTATATAGATTCCAATATCTATCTAGCTGTACATAAATTTTAGTTAACCCAGATACAACTTACACCAATGCAGTTGTCATAACTGAAACCAAATTTGAATATAAATTTGTTTTCCTTTTTTACATGCAGTGTTGAATTATTATGCACATTCATCCAGCACTCATTCACATTTTATCACTCACATTTTATCCTGAGAAACGCTGAGTTATACAAAAAATGGGTCAGCCTTGCCAAAGGCATACTTATTCTGTATATCATGCATTCTAAGACAGGCACGCATCCATAAGTATGATGTAAATGGACTTTCAAAATGGAGGTGGCCCTCTCCCATCCATGTTTCATTCACAAAATGGTGAAATTTGAAGAGTGACATAATTAGCATGCAAAGGAAGATGGTAGCATCACTCAAGTCTTGCAACTAAAAGCATGCCAGCCCTCAGTCTTTCTCAGAATACTAATCCGATATCTTGATGAATTAAATCAGCAGACAGGATCATTTGAATGCCATTACAGACAATCAAGTTAGAGATAGGAATAGAAGGCTCTGCTACAATAGAGACATACATGTATGCATCATCTGTTGGAAAGATTGTAGAAATACACCGATCTCCATCTTGATTATATCACTTGCACCAGATGTGTTGATATTGCAAGTGTTCTCTGGATGCTAGGAGATTTAAATAATCTGTATAATAATATTCTTTCTACAACTATATGTACATGAATCGCAAGCTGGTCATCATTTTTCATTGACTGTCAATTCTGTCAT